AGCAAGTTTAGAACACAACTTACATAAACCGCTAAAAATTATATTTATATTCAGTACTAACCTCACTCTCATTTCGCCACCGCAGACAATTGAAATGTTTTAAAAAGAATCGTCCTGTTCCTGCAAACGGTCTTTTGACTCCTCAAATAAAAAAATCTAGGTTAAAGTCAGTGTAGTCGCCCGACTGCCCGTTCGTTTGTCGAGTGCATTTGAAATTTGCACCGAAACAATGCTTGGACTCTGATTGGCTGGTGAAATGACGTCAGCGGAAATAGCTGTGGAGCGGAACCAGAGAACTTGTAAAATAAAAGCTTATGCTGTACGTGGAACTTCTCCCACTTGTCCAAACGCGGGGCTGCAGCAGTCTTCAGCAAGAGGTAAATGGGGATATATTGCTTTAATGATTCATACAAAAGTGTTTGAAATGTCTGCAACAAACAAAACAAAACAAAGAAAAATAAAAGTCCTTCCTCTTAAATAGCCAGGTATAAGGACTGGACTGACGAGTGAAGAAAAAACTTTGTCCAAAGAAGGACGTTACATAGGTACAGACTAAATACACCTTTATAATTTACTCGCAGGTCATTTCGTAGCAACTATTGTACTTAATCTTTTGCACGAAGAGTGTTGTTGCGTCATCTATTTAATTTACTATTCGAATGAGTTTTCTATCTTTCCAGAGAGGGACAGCTCTATTCTGCCTTTTTAACAAAGCTAGGAAAAAATTATTTTAAGGAATAAAACATATTTTTTGTTCGTTCAAAGACAGACCCAGTTCATTTGAATAATTTGACAAAAATAGCAGAGCATTATATTTATTTACACCATTCAGAAAATTACAATATGCATTTTTAAAACATTTCTTTGCAGCTGTCACTGATCTTTTACTCTTAGTTTTGTTCTTATTCACCCATAATTTGAGTTTAAAATTAAGCTGTTTATATAGACATTAGCAAATGTCACAGATTACAAATAAATAAGGAAGGAAACATGGTAGAAAAACAAACTGAAATTGTAAATCTACAGACAAAATTTGAGTAGTTTAGCATGATTAAAGACAGCGTTTGTTCCCTTGTCATTGAGGGTACTGACGTGAATATAAGTTTCTCAACACATTCTCACTGAACTGGTAGGTTAGCTTCTTCTTCACTTTTTTAATCTCTCCGGTTTTACCATAGTTTCTCAGAGCTCGAGCCATTTTCTGGTAGGTCATTTTTTTGCGGTTTCCTTTCTGAATACCCCAGTGGTTCGCCAGGGCTTCCTTGTGTTTGGTGGAGAACTGGAAGATGCCCTTGTCCTGGTCCACCCACCAGATACTCTCACTCATGTCGCCATTTCTTAGCATGTCAAGGAGGAACTGGTACAGACGGATTTTCTTCTTGTTGTCTGGAGTGGAAAGTATAAGAATTGCTAAAGCAATTTTATTCAGTTTTTCAAGGTTTATGACTGAATGTAAGAAAAAAAGAGGTTTGAAAATACCCACTAGTGTCTCTCCTGAAGGAAGAAGGGTTATGACCTTCATATTCATCCTCGCCCTCTGATACCTCAAGCGGTGGACTGATTCCTCTCTGGTCCTCCTCTGAGTAGTACTGTCCAGGTGAGGCCGAAGGCGGGTACTGGTAGCACAGGGGTGAGGTGTAATATGGGATCTTTAGGGGAAATTTAAAACATGTTTATGCACAGAAGTGACAGACCGGGCAACGTTTTTTGTTTTGCAATTATTCATCACCTGACATTTTCATTTAAACTCAGTCATTGTGTTAAAAGAGGAAGTTGCCGTGCCAGAATTAGAATTCAGTGCTCAGCAGTACCCAACAGTGCAGATGACATTTCAGAGGAAATATCCCAGACTGTCCACATCATGTGCTGTATTTGTGTAGATAAAATCACATTATAATCTTCTAAATCCCCGATTCAGTTTACAGCAGCACAGTTCGTTTTCATTTCAGCAGTTGAATGATTCTGAAAGTCAGGAGCACGTACAGTTTATATACACAGTTATGTGTGAAATGGCTAATCCATTTGTTGATTAATCTGCCAACTAAATATGTTCATTACAAGTGTGTAGTAGAAAAATACCAAATATTGTCTGGTCTTCTTGGCCTGTGATTCTGTTTGGAGTATAGAAAATTGTTATAGGCAATTTTTTGACATTATGTAGGATTCATAGTGAACGTGACCCTTATATGAGGAACATTTTAATGTCAAATGAATCAGAGTAAAGTCAAATAATTTACTGTTACTTCAGACACGGCTGTGTTCAAGACAGTGAGAATAATTACCAAAACCTTAGGGGGTTTTTTTTGTTTTTTTTCCGAGTTTCTTTTAATGTTTGAGGTCTTTTTAAAGACTCCAGTAAATGTATTCTCCCTCAGGGAAGAAATAATGAGCAATCAGACTGATGTGAGTCACGCAGTGTAGTAACAGTTGAGTAAATGTTTTTTTCATCACTGCCTAACATCGCTGCTGCATGTTAATACCTCAATCACAGTAAAACAAATAAGAAAAAAACGGCAGTACACTTAAAAGCATTTCTCTACTTTAGAATAGTAGCTTGGGCAGTGAGTGTATCCTAATAGAAGGGGGTTCGTTACTTGTCAGGCCACTTGTCAGTAATTCCAATCACATCAATGGAAACTGTGTTTTTTCAAGCTACCATACATGGACTTACTTGTGGTGATGCAGACAGAGGAACGAGTGGAGGATCAAGTTGGAGGTACAGTGACTCACTGCCATAGCGGTATGGTGGTATCAGCTGTGGGGGAGACACGGCCTGAAGCTCCGTGAGGGGATTCTCAAAGTCCGACGCCTGGACCCGCTCAGATTGGAAGGTCCATCTACGTTCTGAAAAGTGACCGAGGTTTAAGCACATGGCCGTATGATGAGTCACCTTCTAACACTGAAATCCAGTCTACTAACCATCGCAAATCTCCCCCACGCCAGTGAGGTAGGGGTACAGCTCCACAGACGGTCGATAGTTCTCGGCCTCATTTGCAATAACCTCCTCTGAAGCCTTTTGGGGGGGAAATATGAGATGTTGTTTCTGAAAAATTAAAAGTTTGAGTCTCTTTGTCTTTCCAAAATGTTTTCAGATATGATCTTCAGCTATTACTCATTGCTTTTAGAAGAACATAAAACAGACAAAAACAATCAAATCAACTGAATAAAGCAGGAGTGCAGATTATATACTGGACTTTACCATATGTTAACGGTTAAAATGCAGTGAAATAAGTATATCCTGTTTAAACACAAACAAAAATCATCTTTGCAGACCATAATAACAAATAAAATACCACCTCCAGTGTCTTAAAGCTCTACTTTGGTCACTAGAATAACCTTCAAAGGTAACTGAAAACTCAATCTAACAGAAACCCACATGGAAAACAAAATACCTTCACGATGTCGCAAACTGAAATCAAAGCCTTATCTCCTGGTGTATGACATATACATGGTAAAAAATCAAAAGAGATCCACTTACAGACGATATAACATAGCCATCCATCATGTAAACAAGGCTTCATGAGCTTCTTGGTTCTTTAAGCTTGTGGTAATTTTTAACTTTTTCTTATTGCTTCACCGATAAATACGGAGTGTCGCCAGGCACTGACTGCAGCACGCAAATGGGAACTGAAAGTGAGAAATAAGCTGGAACATATACAGTCTGCATTCATATCCAGTTGCTAGATTCATATGGTGAGTTAGTTCCTGATGGCCATACACCATGTTTACATGCATTTATTAAAAGTCTAAAGCCCAGTGTGCTTTTTTTGTGTGTTATAGCACACTCTGAGTGCAAAATAACTCCACATGTCTTAAAGACACCCTTTAAGACACCCCACACCCTTAAAGAAGACGCAGTGAGAGGAGAAGGTTATCACATATTAAGTGACGAGCCCTTCCCTGCTTCAACTCTCATCAGTTCAACTGATGTGATTAGAGAGACATTAACTCTAATCTTTGGACTCATTCCTAACATGATTAAACTTAAAGATAATGCGACACTTATTTCATTTAACACATCATAATTGAATAGGAAAGCAGGCTTTATGAGATTCTAACTCTCAATTACAATGAGTATGATTTATTCACACTGGAATTTTTTAATCGCTACTGCAGGCAGCAGTCGAAACCAAAAGTGAAGTTTGGACCAGGCTTGTTCCTCTTTTTGTTTGGCATTATGGTTTCAATTGAGGAAGTTCTGACCGTGAGATGAAACCAGTGAAAAAAAGACGGAAAGAGCTGGACTCACTTTGTCCCTGTAACTTGTCTGCGTTTTCATACATACAACACTGAGATTTTTATAACCACCTTCTGACTTTTTTTTCTGGCATGGAGGTGGATTTTTATGACTTCTTTTAAAATAATCGAATGAGTCAAGCATTATTACGCTGTGCTTTGACATCTTTGCCTCTGTTTAATGGAAACTTACCAGAGGCAGTCTGCTGGCTGTGATGAAACTGTTTCCTGTGAGCACACCACAGGGAGAAAAGCAGGTTGTTTATCTGCATTTCTGTGTTTCACGGAACACATCAGCTGAGGTGCCTTGAGACATGGTCTATTAAAAGACAGCAAAGGTTCCTTTATTTTGTTTAACCCCAGAAAATCGTGTTTATGACGACTGCAAACCGTGACCCACGGTGCGTAAAGTACAGGTCTGGGGCTTCTCGTGCTTTCAAATATTTGCTCTGTCTCCATCTACTGGAAAGAAACGTTGAACTGGCCAGTATCTAGGCTAGACTGAGTTCAGAGGCATAGAGGAGACAACCAAAATAGCACACCGAGGCCCAAATCTATTTATCCTCCGCCCCCGAATATGGCTCTTTTAGGGGATGCTTGACAAATTAGAGAAATGAGGGCTTCGGCGATTTATCAGCACTTCCGATTTTCACGTATTGCCAAATTTCCTCCCCACCTTAGACACTGACAGCAGCAGCAGCCAGGAGCGGAGTCCCGCTGTCCCGTGGAAATATCACGGCACCGAGGCGAGATACGCATGGAACATGGCTGCTATGAGGACTTTAACCGTGGCAGGTCTGTTTTTGGCTTTTTGCGCTTTGGGACTGATCGCGGTGGCGATCAGCACCGACAACTGGTACGAGACTGACGCCAGGAGGCACCGGGAACGCTGCAAGAATTACTCAAACAAAAGAAACGACCCCGGCTACATTTACATCTCCAACAACAACCTTCCGCTTCGGATGCTGCCAAAGGAGAAAAACGTTGAAAGAAAGGGCTCCAGTGTCAGCGGCGAAATGCTGCTGCGGGCTAAGCGGCACTTCTTGCCTCCTGCCCCGGCAATGGAGTCTCTCTGCAGTCGGCATTTCAACTCCACCGTCACCGGACTGTGGAGAAAGTGCCACAGAGAAGGGTTTGACTTGGAGACGGAGGATTTGATCTTTAAAGGTTTGGTGTTGGGCTTCGTGTTTTTGTGCTGTAACGTGTTTGTTTCGGAAGCTTTGTGTCGAGTGACAGGCGCTGTCGGTAACAATACTTTGTGCACGAATGCGCTATCCAAGGTGCTGATGCTGCGCAAAGACCCTCGAGGCCTACGCAGTATCGCACGGAGTACAGTTACAATGCGATCGACGTGCTGTGTTTTTTCTCTCGCCCCAGCACAAAAGGGCAGCCTGTAGTAACAGAAGCCTCGGGATGCGTACAATAAGCTACTCCACAGTGGTGTGGGTGGATGGGTGGGCGGTGGTGGTGGAGGGGGGGCTGGGTGCGTATTTTTGGGAGGTGGGGGGTGGCAGGAGCGAGCCTTGTGATATCCTCTTCATCTCGTCTCAGTGCTAATGTGAGACATCCTTTTTGTGTTGTTTACATCCACAGGATTGGTTCCACGCTGCACACCAATAAAATACTACTACTCATCATCAGAGCTCCCCAGAAATCTGCCAATCAATCTGACGAAGACAATAAGGCAGGATGAGTGGCACGCGCTTCGTGAGTTACCTTTTTTTTAATCTGATGAATTAATGTAGAAAAACTGAGCACGCCCCCTGACATACACGGTGTTTTCTGCTGTGCCTTTTTTTTTTTTGCAGATCTCCAGAGGATGACTGCCAGTTTCATAGGAATGGCCATATCCATCATCATGTTCGGCTGGATCATAGGCGCTCTGGGCTGCTGTCAAGACCACGATCTGATGCAGTATGTCGCCGGACTTCTCTTCCTCATGGGAGGTAAGAAGTTCTTTACATAAAGAGCACTGCCCCGACTCACCGCAGAGGGGCGGTGTGGTCTTTATTAACCGTGGCGCATCAAAAGGGGGGGATCAAATCGGGTTGCTGACTTGTTTCATCCTCGCTCTCTGGCAGGGACGTGCTGCATAATCTCCCTTTGCACGTGTGTGGCCGGAATCAACTTTGAATTGTCCCGCTATCCGCGCTACATGTTTGGCATACCAGAGGACATCAGTCATGGTTACGGCTGGTCCATGTTTTGTGCGTGGGGTGGACTGGGCCTCACGTTGCTGGCTGGCTTCCTGTGCACACTCGCTCCCTCCCTCTACCCCCCACAGGCCAGTGCGGTGCACAAGCCCAGACAGGAGAACGGCTGTGTGTGACAGGCCGCGGGCATACCAAACAGACACCTGTCTCATCTGTGAAACAGTGACGAGCCCTGTTCCAGAGACAGCTTCACCCAGGGACTCAGAGAAAAGAGAAAGCCTTCACTTAGCCAGGCACAGAGAAAGCATGGGACACTTGCTCGCACTCACATGGGAAATGATAAAGAGGTGACATTTGACTGAAGATGGTTTCAGTTCCTCTGGTGCTTTTTGATTTTTTTCTTCTGTCCCTCTTTATGAATAAACTGTTGAGTGTCATTGCTTGCTCTTCAAGAGGAGAATATAACAATTTCTTCTTGTAAAATCTGCTAGTTTGAGAAGAAAAACAGAATAAAAAAGAGAAAAAGATGCACTGGCAGGAGGTCAATAGCACAACTTTCAAATGGGAACTGAAGATCAAACCATGGACTTGTAATTCACATTTCAAAGGGCAACTGTGTATCATTATGTACCCATTCAAAACAAGATATGTACATGTACTTTATGAATTGTATGTATGCAGATGCATTTGTGTTTATTCAAGGAAAAAAAAAAGAGAATTAGACCAAACTGTGTTTGAGGGAAGTGTTTTGTTGTTCTTGAGGTCTTACCCCTGTCGGAATATTTTTGAAAAATAAAAGAGCCATGCAAAAGTATTTTTTTTTCTTCCCCCCTCATGTAATGCACTGAACAGACATCATATAAAAAGAAACAAAAGCAAAAAAACCCTTTGTGGTTGTCTTATGTCTCAACATGTGTTCACTGTTATGCCAGCAGGCAAAAGAGGCCTGCTAACCGAGTCAAAGCGTTTACAGCATTGTTTTAAAACTGCAGCTGAATTTATTTCTCTTGGTGTTACGAGGAGCTGCTTGCAGGCCACCGTTTTATGCAACCACTTCTAAATGTGCAAATGTGCAAATGTCAGTGGCCAAAATGTGCGTCAGTGACCAAAACTGACAGAAATAAATCAGTCCAAATTTAATAGAACATGAAAGTGAAGTTATTTTTTTCCCGCCTGCACGCTTCAGTGGAAATTAAACCTATGTTTATAAACATCAGGGCCACATAAAATGAGGAATGTCCGGATAGCTTCATCCAAAGCTCTCGGATCGCAACATGCTGACAATTCACAGATTAACAAACTGATGTTGCTGATAATTTTTCAAGGTTTTTTTTTTTCATGTGTACTAGTTTTAAGAAAAAAATTAATCGTTCTGACAGCTAATTGAAATATTGGCTTCACTCATTTCCTGAACTTTCGCTGCTCATCGGTACTATTCTGTTGCTCAAATTGTGGCAATCTTCATCTGCAGTCTTCAAATAAATCCCTGTTGTTGATTAGGCACAGTGTTTGTTTACTTAAGGCACTGGAGATTTAAGTAAACAAACATTCTACATCATAAATGAACAAAATATATTTAGTGATAAAATCATTTGCTAGAGGATGCACAGACTCTCTTAGTGGACTGTTAATTCATTTCAAAGAGCTCCTTTTTTATTCCATTAACAGCCCCTGGAAACATGAAAACATTTTTCATGTAAACAAACAGTAGTCCTCTGTTGTAAATGTATCTAACTGTTCAAACGAATTGTGAAGACTGGTTTGTTTTGCAGTGTTACAGTGTCTGGTATCAATGATACAAAGGACTGTGTGGTTAATGAGGAGGACTCATATATGTGCCCACATCATTAAAAAGTCATCCGGTGCTGTAGGTGGTCTAATTATGCTACATACCCTTGGCTTGTTGGCCAAAGTGCATTCAATTGCTTGAACTTTAAGTATGCTTTGCATTAAAAAACCCAATCTGAAAAAGTGACTAATACCATGTCAGATAAGTGGAGTAAAAAGCGTGTATGCTTTTCTCTATATAAGGTCATATGGGACTCTGTGGAGTCTTGTGAAAAGAAAAGCTAAATGCAGCCCATGATTCAGTAGCTTGTAGCCAACTTTTCTTTACAGCGTGGCTTCAGTTCACTGAGGGACTCATTTATGCACAGCTATCTTAAGGTCCTATCACAGCATTTCAAACAGGTTGAGGTCTGGACTTTGGGCCATTGCAACATCTTTGTTCAGCCATTCTGTTGAAGATTTGCTGCTGTGTTTGGGATCATCAACCTGTTACATGATGCAGTTTTACACCAAGCTTTAACTGTCAGACAGATGGGTTCACATTTGACTATACAGAAGAGTTCATTGTCGACTCGTGACTGCAAAACAAGCCTAAATCATCACTTTTCCACCACCGTGCTTGACAGTTAATATTAAGTGTTCGCTCCAGGACGAGTGCTGTGTATTATGGCCAAGCATCTCCACTTTGGTCCTGTCTGTCCAAAGGAAATTGTTCCAGAAGCCTTTTGTTTTGTTCAGATGCAGTTTTGCAATCCAAAGCTGTGCATTCATGTTCTTTTCAGAGAGAAGAGGCTTTCTCCTGGCAACCATTCCAAACAAACCACACTTGTTTTCCTGATCGTAATATTCATGAACTTTTACATTTAACATGCTAAACTGAGGCCTGCAGATTCTGAGATGTACCTCGTGTTTTGTTTTTAGCAGTTTCTCCGAGCATTGCACAGTCTGAGCTTGAAGTGTCTTGAAAGCTTTCCACAGAATAATCTTCCTCACTGCACAATGATGAACTTCAAATTGTTTGGAAATGGCCTCATAACTCATCTCAAATTGATGGGCAGGAACAGTTCTTGGTATTCCATTAACACCTACCTGAATGCTGCAGACATCAAACTGCCAAAACATCTGGTTTTACAAGGGTGCTCACACATACAGATGATTAATTAATCAAGTGCATTTAATTAGTAGAACCTCGCTGTGCCTTACTCTTTGAATTTCAATGGAAGCAGTAAGAGTGTACTTAGTTTTCTATAGGCCTGTATGCTGAAAGTAGCAAGGACTATTTACTAAAGTACAGTTTGAAGGCCATTGTACTTTAATGTTGGTATTTTATTCGGGTTTATACTAAAATATATTTTTGAAAAAAATATTGTACTTTCCATTTCTCATCAATTAAGTAATGACTTCACAAATATAAAAAAATAAGACAGACTGATATACATAAATAGTTATAGTTGATCACCAGGTACTATAAAGTAAGGAATCCACTTTTCCACTTACACCAAAGTAATGCTTTTTCATTGCAATTAAGCAGTGAAAAAGGTAATCCGTCACTTCCGAATGGGCTATTCTGCATTTTGTTTTCTTTAACAATACTTCCTATACTAAAGTTAATTTTAAATGTAGGATTTTTGCTTACATCCCTGCATACCACACTGGTATAAGTGTTTATTTTTTACTGAAGTTAAAGCTCTCACTTCTTTTAGTCTTTGACTTAGTTATGTTGTCTTGTTACATCAGCAACATTTGTTAAGGATGTAAATTAATTCTGCTCCTGAGTATGTGAAAGGGGGGGTTGGCCTTCAACACAGCAATCTGAAAAAAAAAATCTTATCTCAAGGTTCACTTTCCTGCTCTTTCAAGAGCTTTCATGGTCTTTAGCAGAAGGCAGACTTTGCTCAGTGGGAAATTTCTCTGTTGTCATGGAGCTGGTCCACTGAGATGTGTTAAAAAACTTGAGAAGTTAAACAGTATCTCTATTTTTATTGAACAAGAGCTCCTTAAAAGAGCGTCAGATGCAGTTGAATCATATTAAAACTATCAGTCGTTTCATTGCAGTAATAATAACGGTAAGACTAGTAGCAGATGGAGCACTTAACAAATCTCTCCTTTCTAACAATAGCACCCCAGAGGCCTGTCATTTTCGGGTCAGAGTAGCTTCAGGTCGACTCTGGTCTGCATTCTTGACCTTTCTTTCTTTTTCTTAAGGAGAATAAATTCTTTAACAACATGCTTAACGCTCGGGCAGTCGTGCCTCTAAGCAGCGTGGATCTGAATCTAATCTTGCGGGAAAAAAATATTTTCCTATAGGTGGATTTATATCAGAGCCAAAAAAGACAAATTAACTATGATGGGCAGGTTGCTTAAGAGAGGTTTTGCGAATAGCTCCACTTTTACTAACACAGTGGAAATTTTGTCCAAATGTTTTAATCAAATCTTGGAGCCCTGTACTGTGCCCCTGGAAATTAAGAGCTGTATAGACATATAGGGTTTCTCAGGAGCTCCTGCAGCTCTGGGTTTTTGCTGTGCTGGTCTGCACTGTGCTAAGAAAGAAAGAGCTGTTTTTTTAAAAAGGGGTCCCTCAGGGGAAGCTGGACTGTGAGGAAAACCAGACAGAGGAAATCACACCCAGTTGCGCCCATTGCAGCCCATCTGGTTCACTCACATCTGCATAGACATTATCTCTGTTAACAAAAAAAAAGTAAGAAAGAAAAAAAGTGGGCATGCTTGTAGCTGTTACTTTGTGGTTGTTGCAGACGTTGGCTGGAATAAGAACATTTTACGGTAGTCAGAGAAAGAAAATACAGAGATTACCACCAAAGGCATTTGTGATATTAAATCCAAGGCACTTCAAATGAAGACTGCCTAACAGATGTGTTTATGTTTGACCCTGTTAGCCAGGGTTAATGCTTATTTTGGAAATTCAAAACAATTTTCCATCCATAAACAGTGTCTCTGAAATAAACTCAAGAGCAAAACAGGGCTTTTTTATAGACATATAAAAAACTTGCCAGTTAAAAGCCTATTTTTAGTAAAAATGACATAATCCAAAACAGCTCAGAGTTTAAACACAGTAACATCTCATGTCAACCTCGAACTGCGTGGATTATGATAGACAAAAGACTAGATAATGATGACAGTGACGGCCTTTGAAGAAGCATATTTCATACTCGAGCAGATTACTTCCAGATGGAAGTGGGAGGCAGTGACAGACTTCAGACGCCAATTAACCAGGGCCACTTGAAGGGACAGTCGAGCCTGCCACTTGTAGTGCCAACAGCAAACACGGTGATGTCAAGACATGAGGGAGGAGGAGGGTCACTTGAAAGTGATGAAAGTGAAAAAAATTACAATTTCAAAGATTTCGAGTTCTTATTGCACATCGCAAATTTTAAAGGATGGGAGACGTCTCACATTGGTCTCAGGGCAAGCATGAAAAAGAAAATACCTGAAAGTCCTGATGTGGTGAGAAGAATGAAGAACATTGTGTCTTGAAAGAAAGGGGGAAATATCAGATATTTAATATTTATTTGATCAGTTATGACAACCTAACAGCGTGAACAGCATAGTTAAAATCATACAGAGTTACATATTTTACTGACAATAAATCCATGTTTGGGGGGGGGGGGGTTGTTTTCACACTCTCTCCTCTCTCTGAGGGTTCCTTGCAGACATAACTTATGCCCACATTTCTTTGTTCCCTCCTGATTCAGAGGAATGTGCTAATATTTCTGTTAGAGCTCCTTCAGTGACACAGCTCCAAGGAATGGGAACAACCAAAGGTCAGAGAAGTTCAAATGCTTAAGAAGGATATTCATAAGCCACAATAAACTTTCCAGTTGGTTAATGAACTGGAGCGTCCTCGCTCTCTCTTTTTCTCAGTCTCTCGCTCTCTCTTTCATACACACAAACACACACTTAAAGCTACCACAGCCCCACTAAGAACCAGCATTAAGATACTCAGTCTTTAGGCGGCTCAGCCTGGTACCATGACTGCGAATGATGAGAGACAAAAGCTCATGTTTATCTTTCAGGCCCAGCGAGATGTCGGTGGTTTCCTTCAGAGCGTCCCTAACGTCACCCACTTGCTTCACCACAT